ATATGAGCGCCAAGGGGTGGGTGTCAACAGAGAAGTCTTTACAGGGAATCAGACTTATTCTGCTCACCTCTCTAGCTTCAACAGCACAAGGTCTGTTTCGACTATCAAGGCACCCCAAGAGATTGACAAACATACAAAAGAAGTAGAGGAAAAATGACAATAGTAAGGATTAGGAAAGAAAAAGCAGCAGTTCCCTGTTGTAGATCAGGCACAGTTTTTTATGGGTTTGAAAAAGAATTAGTTATTTGGCTTGTGCAATATATTATAGGATATATTTGTTGAGTTTTTTTAATATGATTCTTCTAAAAAGGTATGAGATGCCATATGGCTTAATGAAAGCCTCCAATCTTTTCTCAGCAATCAATGTGGATCCTGATGACCGAATCCCAGAACTTCTGTCTGTGATGCCCAAGGTGCGGCACATGAGCATGTGGTACTCCAACCTGATCCGGAACATGCGGGCTGACCCTAGCAGCATGGACAAGACTCTGCAGGACCTCACCCAGATGGCAGCAAAAGTTTCCGCAGGAACCCGCCAGGCTGACCGGAATGGGTGCCGGCAAAAAAAAGCTTTACCAGAGCTCGAGGAGACTTGAGATCTTGAGTGCTCACCCACAGTAGGTTGTGATGAGTGTCATGGAGTGGTATTTCCTCTCTTGTCAGGCGTGCTCCATATTGCTGCAGTGTCTCTGTTGTTAGTGTATTGATGTAATTGGGGTTGAAAATGACTTAAAATGACACTAAAATCTGAGAAAGCTATCTCCTCCCTCCACTGATTAAAAAAAACCTAGAGACCCCTTGGTGATCTATGGAAGAGAAGTCTTTGATGGGAACTTTTTTAAACTGTATTTTGTGCAGAAAACCTCTCTACTCTGACCACTGTAAATCAACCTTCACCTCATCTACTGTAAAAAGCTGTAAGACCTGAGAGAGTGGGTTTGTTTGGGGTTGTTTTTTTTTATTCAACTGTGAGGCATGAAGCAGAAGAGCAAAAAACTTGGCGAGAGCTGACTTCTTGAAATCAGCAGTGATACTGTACATGGACAAAACTTTTCCACTTCTCCTGGGCATAGCATCAGTGTAAGAGGCACAGCAAGTTACATTCCTGTTGCCTTGAGGTCACATGTGAGCATTTTGCTTACACATAAACTACTAGATCATGGTAATCAGACCTCGCAGGTGTAAGAAGGAAAGACTTTCTTGCCTCTGCATCAGGATTACATAAAGACAAAATGCTGATGTGTAAACAGAATTCATACAAAAGGCAGCTAGAGTGGCCTTCACTTTCATGTCAGTTCATAGGATTGTGTCTTCAGTCTAGTCTGGCACTGCTACAGTATGCTATAGGCAGGGGAACAAGTGCTGCAGTGCGCTATAGGCTACAGGCAGGGGAAAGAGGTGGGATGGATGAAGCTCATCCACAAAGTTATGTCTCTTCACTAGTGGGCAGCCAAGACTTTGAAAAACAAAGACGTTATGATGGAAATTTTGTATGGCACTTGTTTTCTGTGTGCTGCATCATTTCTCTCATCGCCTGCTTCCTTGGTCTCTTGCAATCATACCACATGATTACAGAGTGTATCTTATCTTGTTTCTGATTACAGAGTTTATCATAACTTGTTTCTGTGTCTTATTAACCTAATGTATGGAGAGAAAAAATAAAGTGCAATATTGTAAGTTTTGTTAGAGATGGGTTTGTGCCATTGTGAATTTTTTTTTTTTTTGAAAGTTTTTTCTTTTGAAAGTCCGTTTGGAAATTCTTTTGTTCTTTTTGAGAATGTGAATCGAGGAATCAGGAACTTTGTTGTGTGTACTTAATGAGCTTTAGAAGTGAATGTCTTCAGGTTTGAGTGATCTCACAAGAGTTGTGTTTTGTGTTACTATTGATGATTGGATTTACTGGTAAATTTTGTAACCAAACTTTTGATCAACAACCTCTTATTTATTGTTATTCGACATAAATAGTGTCAATGTGTTTTATCTTTGCGAAATTATGACATGCTTTATTTTGCTTGAGAAATGATCAGCAGAAAAGTGTTGCACAAAGGATTTCCCAAGTACCTGAAAGGAATGAGTTCTTATAGTATGTGGTGCAGTTTTAATCAGACTGGTTTGTATTGTAGTGCAACATACAGGATAGATGTATTCTATGTGGTTTATTCATCCACACTTCAGTTTGAAAACAGGACATTTGACAGAAATTTAGATATAGCAAACATTGTCTATTTCCAATTTCATTAAGGTAAAATACAGTCCTTTTTGCATACTAAACGTATATAAATTGTTATCTGCCTGAGAACTTCAGTGTACCAGTTTGCTGTAAGTGTCTTTTGATTATAATTTTTAAAGTAATTTAGCATTCCATTTCTCCTCAGTGTACATTTAATGCCTTCGATTCATGTGATGTGGTTTTGATGGATTGAATAATATAATGTACAGTGGACTAAACAATATTTGTTGGGATTACTGCCAGTTCTGATAATGATTATCAATAAATTCTTTATGTGAATCCTTCTTTGTTAATGTTTTTATTGTTCATTGTTTGTTTACTTTTAAAACATATTTATCATCCCGCCATAAGACTTGCACTTCAGATGCGCTATGCTATATATATATATTTATATATATATTAATGTATATATGTGTGTGTTGGTGTGTGTGTGTGTGTGTATATGTGTGTGTGTCTGTGTGTGTGTGAAAATAGACCTACTTTCTTTTTTCAATTGCTCTGGTTTTTGTTTGTCCATGCATCGTATAAGAACACTTGAGCTAGAACTGTAGGAAAGTTTGTAATTGCGGCTGGGTCTGATTATGTGTTCTGTCCTTTTTGTTACATACACTTCCTGTCCAGGTCAGTCTTAAAATTTAAAATAGAAGTGGAAAAAGTGTGATGGTAAAAAGAAGTTGTTGCCTTATTTTTAAAACCCCACCCAGATTTAGGCAAATACCTTTCAGTCCCTATTATGTCAGCGTGCTCAGGTCTTGATGTGCCCATCTTCAAACAATTTGAAAACTATACTAGAAGATGCAGGTCTTTTTGTTCTTGTTCATCTCTCAAAAAAAATGAGCTCGTGACAGATAAGAATGACAACTTTCATCATCATATGCTGCGTAAGTCAGATTTTGGTCAAAATAAAATTGCCCCCCCCCCTTAACATTCCCCTATAACCTAAAAACGGTATAAATGCACTGACAAATTTGCAAGTTACAAAGATTAAAAGTAAGTCTTCATGCTGTGAATGAGGAAGAGACATGAAAGTAGAACCTGTTTTTAAAAAAGATTTCCTTTAAACTACAGGCTACTAATGCCCTAGGGCTTTATTGTAACATGTTGTGGAAAGTGTGTGTACTGAGCCCCAGTTTGTGGCTACTGTTGAACTGAGAGATTAAGGTTTCACATGAAAAAGTCTTTGTTAGTGACCAGATGTGACATACAAGTCAGCTATACATTTGTGTCTCATTTTCTATGGAGTAACATTATAATCTTTACATTGAGATTTGAAATAAAGTTGGTTAGTTCAAACACAGATGTTCATGATGGGTCAAAGTCTAAAGGTCAACTTACACCTGGGTGTGGCAGTCATGTAGCAAGGTTATCTCTCCAAGGTCAAAGTAAGGTGTCTGTGAGCATGACCCAAGGTTCAGCTTGGATGTCACTGACAAGTTGTTCAAATGTTCTAAACCCAGAGAGAAAAACTGGTTCATTTCATTCTTTCAAAAACTGTACCTATATTTTGTATCTTTTCTTACTTTAAAAAAAATTCAAAATCTGAGTTTGGACAAAATATTTCTCAAGAACATGCACCGATCCCGCACAGATTATAAAACGGAATTTTCTTTTAAAATCAAATTTGGGATTTACGCTCTGGTAGACCTATATTTTAGCAACTGGCCAACGATTTATACATTATAGTTATGGGCTGTGTGATGTGTTATGTGTTGAAAAGTTTTATTTTTCACATTCTTTTTTTGCTGACAGAAAGAGAATCCTTTGATGAATTTTGTATGAAAAATCCAAATTTCATTTGATTCTGGTTTTCAAATTTTCATTTTCATTTCTCATTCAGACTAAGTCTAGAGTTTCTATTTTTCCCCCATTTTATTGAGATTATCAGTACCTGTAAGGCTACCTTGTGATGATCAGTGTGTCTTTAATTCATTTAATTCTTTGTTCTAAAGTGTCATTTAAGATAGTTTGTCACTGAGTCACTTAGTGCTGCAGCAAGAATAACTAACTGTACTTTTAGAGTTTTGCGGAATGAGCTTGCGTCGTGGCTCTAAAAATGGCGAGAATTCAGGTTGTTTATTTTAAAAGGTTTTTTTTTTTTTTAGAGTTCATTGCTGCTTTATTTTGATTATGATGCACCATGTCGTAAAATGTCATGCATTCCTGAAAGTCTCAAGTAGCAAGGACTTCATGTTTTGAAAGTCTAAAATGTTGCAAGCAGTTGCCAATCCTCCCCACAAAGTATTTAACCTTGCTGTTATAAGGAGATATTCCTGGTTTGTTTGTTTTTTATCGTGACGAAATTTTGTTTTTGCTTCTCAACTGTTTGTACATTTGTAATTTTTCAAATAACATCGAATCTCAGTTGTTAGCCTAGCTCTGACAGCAGTTTCTCAATGAAAATTTCTAGGCAGTGTTTAAGAATTTTTAAAACCTTTTTCCGTTAAAGATTGGACAGTGCCAGCAGTGGTTTGGTCCTAATTAAATCTTTGCCTTCTCTCAGAATTTCGAAGTTCTGCTTTATTCCTTTTTTTCTTCTCAGTACTATGGCCATCATTTTGTTTGTCAGTTATTATTTTGTCGGATACCAGAAACTAAAATGTCATGGTCATATATCATTCCTCCTGCAAAACTGTGATAGAATGCCCTGAGATTTCTCTTCTTGTGCAAGTCCTATCTGCTTTGTCTGTGTGTGCATATTGTACAGGAAGAGAATGGAATTGAAAACACTGTCAGATTATATTATTATTATGTGATTTTGTTTTGTGATTCAGTTTAAAGATGTTGTAAATCTTTACCAACATTTGGTATTTGATAAATGGTGCACACGCTTGGTCTTTAATCATGTTTTGAAACTGATGAAATAACTTTTACAATGAAGATATACTTATCCAATGTTGATTTCTCTTTTCATATTGTTCGTTAATGCCTTTTTATTGTTGTGTACATGTTTTCTCTCTCTGTTACAATTACAATAAATGAGAATGGGAGAAAAAGTGAACCTATGAATTTATTCTTGTTTCTATGATGGAAAACACTCTCAACACCTTTGTTCTTCACTCTCAACACCCCC